AATTATTTGATGAAAAAAGATGTTCTCATGATTGTGAGATTTGGAATTTTATTAATTTAAAAATTTTAGTTATCTTTACTTTTGTTATATAACGGATTGTAAGAAAAACACGATCTTAGCTGGGAATGTGTAAACCTTCCTTTCATAACTATCAACATTCTATTGTTCTCACACAGCCTGCAGCTCGATTTGCACAAAAGTTTATAGCACAGGTCTGCAAGGAAAAAACTGCATAAGATTTTTATACATTTTCTTACAGATTTCAACTTGGTAAAAACAAAAAAAAACACCAAAAATTCCATCTCGTCAACTTTTTTTTTGTTACACTCAAGTTTTTGTTTGTATTTAGCGTAAAATTCCTAGTTAACTTAAAATTTAGTATTCTTTTTTATTTATTTAAAAATGGCCTTAAAAAGAAGACTTTTCACATTAATTTTATCAATTACAGCTGGACTTAGTAATAAATAAATAAAAATGTTAATGGTTGAACAGAGTAGTGGTAAGAATTTTAACGTCCAAATACAACCTAAACTGGCCATGTGAATATGAAGAACTCATAAAATACAGATATATTTTCTCTGCTTTCCTGCAATTAACTAAAAAACACCAGAAAATAGCGAATTTCCCTACTAGGTGTTAACAATCCTTTTACTTTTAACATTTTATTGTATAAAACTGGTTATATATTTTGACACTGGTATTTCTGATTGGTAGTAAAGCATGAGTTCTGAAGCTAGGTTTGTTCTGTCCATGTAATATTAGGATAGTTTTTGTTGTAACTCTTAAGTAAAAACTTAAATCGTAGAATTCAAAATAAGCAAATCTCTAAATGAATTCCTTTTTTCAAACATCGCCTCAGTATGAATACCATAACATAGGTTGTTGAATAATTCGGTACATAATTTGGACTTTCTGTTTTATTTGCTTATTTCTAAATCAATGAAGCATAAATATATATCTCTGAACGGAACAACACAAATTTATGTTATTATCTTTATAATGATTTTGGTTAGATAAATAGTTTGGTTTTCTGCATTTGTCTGTTTCCTGTATGGTTTTAGATGTTTAATAGGATCTATGATAGTGGTTGATAGTTGGTTACAATGACATCACACATTTTAAAATAAAACGAAGACACCTATAAGATAAATTTATTAACACAAAGTTATAAAGAACTTTAACTTTATAACAAAGCTAATAATACGAATGGTGACAAATGTAAAAAATTTAAATCACAGTAACAATATGCAAAAACGTTTTCTGTAATACTATTGGATACCAGCGGAGATACTTGGCAGCAACCAGAAGTGACAATGACAGCTGAAGCGAGTGATTTCTGTTCAAACGACAAAGGATGTTTGTCAATACGATGCAGAATATTAGAAATTCCTAGAAGATAATGTGTCGTAACATCTCATCTGCAGCTGAGTGCAAGAACTGCTAAAGTGCACAAGGCTGACTATTCGTTAAATTATTTTGTACAATAGGATCTTTTGAAAACAGGAACTTCGATGGTTGTCAATAGTGTTATACTGGACTCAATAACAGGCTAAACAACTAACTGATTGTAATATTTAGGTTAAGTTAGCTTTTAATTAAGTTAAGTACTTTTATTTTGTTTATTTTAAATATGTATAAATGTATAGGGGGGACCGGGGCAAGATCGGCATATTAAGCTTTACTTACATTTTGTGTAACAAATACTGCTGTAAACTGAAAAAAAGCTTTGCATATTGTCTATTGGAATGTTACCTTACTATAGAACTGGTTAAAATCAGTTTAGAAATAAAAATAATTAAAATAATTACAACTTTACAAGAAGAGAGAAATTGACGAAGTTGCCCCGGGTATAGGGGNTACTAGTTAGTTGCAATGTGTGAATACACACACGTTCGTTCAAGAAAGGGGTTCTGGCGTGGTGTATCGAAAATAATGATATTATTTTTTTATTATTTTAAAATTTTTAATACTTCGCAGCAGCGGTCCGAGTTTGGTTGAGCATAAAAATTAACCAATAACTCTTACCGTATTTGCTTTTTATTTTTATTTTTTTAAAATAAACCTAATAAAATATTCACAAAGAATTTATAAATTTTGTTATGAAACTTCATATCCATAAGTAATGTACACATGTATAATACATTCATAAATTCATGTTGATTTATTTTAATATAATACAGTGCAATTTATCATTAGCTAGAACGTTTGATAAATTTATCTTGAAAATATAAAATCGATACACATTATTAAAATTAACATAATTATGGTATAATCTAATGTAGTTTTGTTTAGTTTCGCTATTTTATTTTTATGAATACTGAAATTCAAAGTGGAAACTGCTTATAAAAGGGAAAAAATGGAAGTTTAAATATTATTTTTAGAACATGTAATTTAATAACATATAAAAATTAATGGTGCAGTAAAATAAGCATGAGATTCGATGTATAGTACGCTAAATTATTAGACTCATCCAAAAATTGATAATTTAATATATGTTATTAAATTACATATTCTCAAAATAATATTTTAACTGGCATTTTTTTCCTCTTATAAGCAGTTCTCACTTTGAATTTCAGTATTCTTAGAAATTAAATAGCAAAACTAAAAAAAACTACATTAGATTATACCATAATTATGTTAATTTTAATAATGTGTATCGATTTTATATTTCCTAGATTCACTTATGAAACGTTCTAGCTAATGATAAATTACATTGTATTATATTAAAATAAATCAATATGAAGATAAACAAAACACCTTTTTTGCCGAGAAATATAATTTTTAAACAACAAACGTTTTCAGCCTAATTAATAGGCCATCTTCAGGTTGAAAAATACAACGGAACGTAAATGTTCCATGAATAGAACATAAAAATTTAAATCAAAAATTTTTTACAAGAGAAAATAACGGAAGAATATTTAAAAATTAAAATAAAACACTAAAACAAAAATAACATAAATCTTCAATGTATTAATTCTGGTCGGAGCTTGTAGTATATTTCTTAACCAAATATTTCCATGCCGAAGGCAGGCTCTCGGAATCCCTCGCATTTAAACAGCCTTCTCTTATCTTACTTCTGTATATTTCTATTTTTTCTGCCGTCATTGCTAGAGTTGGGGAAGACAGAGGTTTGATGATTGTTGCCTCGTCCCATTTCACCTCAGATCCTTGTGCTTGCGCCATTTGTGACAAAACCGTTGAATTAGACGCTTTTCTTATGGCATATCTATGTTCCTTGAGCCTTACTCCCAAGCTTCTGGTGGTGACGCCGATATAATCTTTTTTAACGTCCAGTTGTAAGTTTTCATAAGGAATCTTATACACCCCTGCTCTCTCCTCCGCTCTGATATTATCCTTATCGTTTCTCAAGATCTTATACAAATTAGGGGCTCTTCTTAATACCAT